CTCCAGAGACAGTGAGGAGAACTATGTCCCTATGCAGAACCCAAAGTCTTCATCCCCTGTACCCAGTGGCACTAACAACCCAGCTCCAAAAAAGAGTACTGCCAGTGTGAATTACATAGCCCTGGACTTTCAGCCGGTCTCCCAGAGCTCTAATCGCAAGCCACCCTCATCATCTGTCGCATCGGATGAGAAAGGAGAATATGTCCAAGTGCATAAAGAAAAGACCCAGGCCCTACAAAAGACCATACAGGAATGGACAAAGATGCAGCAGTCTTCAAGACCCTCCAAAGATGCCAAGCTATGGTAAGGATAGCCATCCCTGACACCTCCTCTCCTTTGTGACTTTTGTTCAAAAGATGTATATATGTTCTATATGTATGGTGTGGCCACACGTGTGTATGAAGTGTGATTGTAAATGTGTGACTGTTAACAAAAGAATGCTATTGTGTTGTCTTTAAATCGTTAATTGCTGAGGAAGGAGCAACAGTTTGTTAAAGTATAGGTTACTTGAGAGGGAAATTTCTGCTTTTATTTACATGGAGGGTGAAAAGCTGTGGATTCCTTCCAGACTTGTATGATACACACACACACACACACACACACACACACACACACACACACCAACCTGCGGGGAATCACGAGAGCCTTGCCAGCAAGAGAGCTCAGCAGACTAAGGTGCTTGCTGCTCACCCTTTGAACTGGGTTTAATCCCCAGGATCTACATAGTGGAAGCAGAGAACTGACTCCTGGAAGTTTTTCTCTGACTTCCACATGTGCAGTGTGCCCTATCTGCACAAGTAGAAAAATAAATAGCTAAATCTAAAAATGTTTCTAAAAGAGAAATCATTCAGAACTTAGAACTCTTGATCTTTCTGCCTCCACTTCCTAAGTGCTGGGATTTCAAGTATGTGCCACCTGTAAATTTCTTCTTTTTTTATATTTATCAAAGTGGTTTTATTAGAAAGCAAGTATATTTTACACAGCTTATCTTGAGGAGCTACAGGTGTAAAGTATCAAATATAAAAAGAATAAATGGTAGATATCAGCCACCTGCAAATTTCATACTTTGTGTGGTGGTAGCTGTCAAACCCAGGTCTTTGTAAATGCTAAGCAAACACTCTACTGAGTGAGCTATGCCCCAACCCCTACACTTTTAAAATTGAAAGTTTCTCAAGTATGCATGAGACCCACTTGGGTGTGAGTGGCACCATTCCATGGGCTGGAGTCTTGGACTGAATAAAAGGAGGAATTGAGCTGAGCATCAGCATCCTTTCTCTGCTTCCTGACTGCAGATGCGATTCTACCCGCTGCCTCGTGCCTTCACTGCCACTGTGACTTCCTTCCGCACTACGATGGATGGGCCAAAACAAACCTTCCCTTCCTTAAGATGCTTCCATCAGGAATTTCATTGTAACAATGAGAAAAGTAACCAATACGATAGTTTTAGACTTAGAATCTTGAACCTTAGGAAAATAAAAAGTCTTTGACCTGGTAAATAACTTATACAATTCATACTACAGAAGCCAGGATTTTGAGAAAGCAAAGATAACTTGGTTGGAAACTACTCTTATCAAATATTTAGAAGACTTTTGAGAAAAGTAGTAAAAATATGAAATTTGATGCCCAGTAATATTGTAGAGCCAATATTTAGAATTTATATGATGGAATACATCCTTAAATCCCAGCACTTGCAGGGCAGAGGCCAGCCTGATCTACAGAGTGAGTTCCAGGACAACAAGGGCAACACCAAGAAACCCTGTCTCAAAAAACAAAAAAAACAAAAAAACTTAAATAAAACCGGGTTGAAAATAATCCTTCTATTACATAAAACACTTAAGAATGGAAAATGGTTTTCTTGACACTTTAAATTCTTGTTATGTGTGCTGTGAGCACAAGATGGACTGATCTTCGTAATATAGTGGTTCTGCCTTCTGGAGTTCCCACAGCTTTATATCTACTACTTGCCTAACAGGTCTGAGAGATTGTTTGTTTGTTAGGAATCAGTGATATTTAAGGATGTGGCTATAGACTTCACCCTGGAAGAGTGGAGACTGGTGGACCCTACACAGAGGAAGCTACACAAGAATGTGATGCTGGAGAGTTACAAGAATCTGCTCTCCCTGGGTAAGTGAACTAATGGACTTGCTCATTTGACCACATTTGCCAAGGACATAGACTCTCCAGAGTTCTTCCCAAAATTTTTGTTCAGAGTTCTGTCATCAGAACCTCTTGATGCGGGGATAGGGGAAGGCTCAGTCAGTAAGGTAGTTGCCAGGGAGACCTGAGCTCGCCAGGTGTAGTGGCACACGCTTGTGAGCACAGCACACACTTGTGAGCGCACAGTACTGGGGAGGCAGATGCAGGAGGACCCCATCCCTGAGGCCCACTGTCCAGCCCATCTAGTGTGATTCATGAGCTCCAGATGAGTGAACAAAGGGGATGGACATTGCTCCTGAGGAAGACACCTGAGGTTGTCCTCTAGCTTGCACATGTACGGGCACACTCATACATGTCCACCTGCACACACACACATGCACTCACATGCGCATAAGCACATTTAAAAAGCAAAATCTTAGAGCCAGGTTACATTATGCTGTTTCTTATTCTTAACTAGATGATCTTGCTAATTGTAGATTAAGAAATACATGTTTCTTTGGTATCTTGAAGATTGCTGACAGTCCCATAGATTTCAGACCAAATTTTTTCTGGTCATTTCTCTAAGTGGGAATGGCTTTTGGCTCTACAAAGAATGTAATGGATGTGTTCACTTTCCTTGTGAACTCAGATTGTTCCATGATCTGGCATCCCACCCAACTCAATGTTAAGGTCCCAGAGTCCATCAGTGTTACATCACTACAGTGCTCTGCTGTGCTGTGGGCATTGTGCTTCCTCCTACCATCTACCTTAACCACCTGAGCTTTTGTGCATCTGAAATGTGGCTAGTCCACCTGAATAACCTAATTCTACATTTTCCTTGATTATAACTAACCGGTTCTAATTTAAACAGTTACGTGTGCCTGCTGGCAACTGTTATTGGATGATGGAACTTCCTATGATGGCACCCCAGACAGAAGGCTAAACACTGAGACTGAATTTAGCATTATGTTTATACAACCAATAATCCTGTTGTTTTTTCCCCTGACCATGGCTTGTAGTTTCTAAACCAGACATGATATCTCATTTGGAAAATGGGAAACATCCATGGGCAGTGGTGAGAGAAATTTCAAGAGCTTCCTATGGAGGTAAGTTAATGTAAGCAGGAAGATGGGTTCATTTCCAGCATCAGTCATTGGAGGATAGTGAACAAAGACATGAAATCTTTTTCCAAAGCTTTCTCAAAGGAAAACATCCCCATTCCATTCCTCAGTCTGTGCCCATCAAATCCACTCCCTCTTTTCTTCTCCAGCTCCTCTGCCCCCTACTTTGATTCTCTTTCCCAACCCTGTCCAACTCTGTTTTCTTGGGAGCATAATTTTCACAGTTATTCCTTCTTCGTGCAAACATTCATAACATACCCCTTTCAGTTCTTTCTAGTTAATTTTGTGATTTCTTTCATTTTTCACTATCTCGCCATCAGCTGACATTTCTTTTTCTCTTCTGAAAATTCGTTAAGGGTCATCACTGATTCCTCCTAAGCTAAGCCTCTTTGCTAATGATTTAATGTTCTTTTACCTGCAGGGTTCTAAGCCAGGGATCTTTTTCCCCTCCTCTGAGTTCTTAACTAGGTGAGAATTCAAAAAAAGGAATCAGCTGAAATCAAAATAGAGTATTCATTTATTTAGAATGTATTATACATCGGAGTACTATGAATTAGGTTGGATACTAAGGCAACAAAAAACGAGTAGATGTCATGGTAAACATTTAATTCAACAAATAGATGGTTGACAAGTAGACACAAAAGGCTAACCAGTGGTTGTGATGCTTCTTAGCTATGAGGTAAATGAGATATGAAAAGATAATGATGAAAATGAGAACATCTCCCTTGGGGGAGGGGGAGATGGCTCAGTGGGTAAAGTGCTTGCTGTGCAAGCATGAGGACCTAATTTAGACACCACCACCACCACCACCCCCACATTGATAAACGAAACAGTGTGTGCTTGTAATCCCAGTGTGGCAAGCCGGAGACAAGAGGATTCCTGGGGCTTGCTGGCCAGTTCTTCTATCCAAATCAGTAAACTTCAGGTTCAGTGAGAGATTCTGTCAAAGAATGAGATGGAGGCCATTGAGGATGGCACTCAACACACACTCTCTCTCTCTCTCTCTCTCTCTCTCTCTCTCTCTCTCTCTCTAAATAGGGTTGCCAGGGGAGACCACTATAGAGAGACATTTGAGGGGTCGGAACAGCTTCCACTCGGGTGAATAATTAGCAACACATAAAGAGATAACATCATAAAATCAGGTGCTCATGAAATACCTTATCTCTGGTCATGGTTTTTGCCATAAAATCTACTACTTGCCTAGTGTTAACAATAGCATGTTCACCTTGATGCCTGTAAGTTCCCCAACCAAGGGTTATTGGCAAGATTTACAGTACCAGGTATGTGTTTCCTCCTGTGGGGCAGACCTAAAACCCAATAAGAAAGTGATTGGTCATTTAATTAAACACATAGCATTCATGCCAGTATTGTACTCATGATCATGTCTTGCCATGTTGGTCATTATTATGGTTCACAGAGTCACAGCTGGGTAAGACTGCTGGTGAACTACCCCCCCCCAACAGCAGCCTGCATAGCACCTTTTATTACTATGAAAGCTAGCTTGCAGGAAGAAAGGTTGGTACCAACTTGATTTCTCCATGATCTAATGATCAAAATGTATGGTGTCTTCAGCAATAAAGTCTTACTGTCAAGTTCCTGGGAACAATAGCAGTGGCATATATTATTAGGAGGGTATCTCTAGGACACTTCTGACCAATAACTCAAGGAGATATCATACACCTAGCACTGGGATTTTTATGAGCAACCTGTGTCTTTTGGAAGGAGTATTATCCCCTATGTAGGATAATCATATATGTGTGGAAATAGATAGATAGATAGATAGATAGATAGATAGAGATCTTATAAAATGGTAGGTTTTATATGCAGCTTGGTTTTTGAGAGAGGATCTCTCATTGAACCTGGATGATCATTGGATAGGCTGGCTAGTCAGTGCGCTCTGGGGATCCTTGTGTCTCTGCCTCCCAGCACTGGAACTAGAAGCATGCCATCTTTTATGCAAGAACTCTGGGAATCAGAACTCAAGTCCCCATTCTTGTACAGCAAGTACTTCACTGAGATTCCTTCGCCCTTGAATGATTTTTTGTAAGATTTATGTTTATTTTGTGTATGTGAATATTTTTTCCTGTATGTATGTCTATGCACCATGTATGTGCAATGACCATGAAGGGTCAAAGAGAATGTTGGATTCCCTTGGAACTGGAGTTACTATGGTTGTGAGCTGCCATGTGAGTGCTGGGTATTAAATACAGGTGCTCTGGAAAAAGCAGCCAATGCTCTTAATCACTGAGCAATCTCTACAGCCCTCCCTTCTGAGTGATTTTTATTAGGAAAAAAACTCACTGAATTTGCTACTCTAAAAATAAATAATAAAATTTAAATTAAGATAGGGGTATAACTTGTACCTTGGATGGTAGAGTACATACCTAGCATGCATGAATCCCTGGATTCAATCCTCAGTACCAATGTAAATGAGGTGTGTTGGTACATGCCTACAAGCCCAGCACTCTAGAAGTGGAGGCAGGAAGACTGAAGGTCATCTTTGGCTCCATATTTTGAGGCCAGCTTGAGATATATGTCTCATACATACATATACATACATACATTTATTATTTTGGTCCTTTATTCAACTACACCATCTTCTCAATTCTACTTTCTATTTTCCTAGAAAATAAAGTTAAATATTAAACAGTGAAAGTTCCCCAGCTTAGGAAATAAAAGCAATTTGATTTTTTTCTTCTTTTCCCCCAGACTTGAAGACCAAATCTGCAACTAAGGATGCTATACTATCAGAGAATATTTTTGAAAAAGATTTATCACAGAAGATCATTGTAAAGAAACTGGCAGAGAATGGCCTGTGGGACTCCAGAATGGGAAGGTTTGGGAAATGGAATGAGAGGATATTAAAACTACAGAATATTCAGAGGAGTCATCTGAGCCACACCCTGATAACACAGAAGAAAACCCTTGCTGCTCAAAGGGGCTTGAGACTTGGATCTGCTCTTTCTCCAGAGCCAGGAATTGTCACAGAAAAACCTGGCAGAAAATGCCAAATACATGAGAAAAAATTGACAGAGAAATTAGATTTGATTACAGATACCCATTTGGGGAAGATAATTTACAGGGATACAAAAGGCAACAAAACCATAAGGCAGACTTCAGAATTTATTTTGAGAAAAAAAAATCCAGTACTAAAGAAAAACCCTATAACTGTAGCGCATGTGAGAAGGCCTTTTGTTATAAATCACTATTCATTCAACATCAGAGAATTCACACTAAAGAAAAACCTTATGAATGTAATGAATGTGGGAGAAATGTTCAGCCAGCCCTCATATCTCAGTCAACATTAAAAAAAATCCACACTGGGGGAAAACCCTATAAATGTGACGAATGTGGAAAAGTCTTCATTGTTTCTTCATCACTTCTGGTATATCAAAGGATTCATACTAAGGAGAAACCTTGCCAGTGTAATGTCTGTGGGAAACCCTTTAGCCAATGTGTCTGCCTTAATCAACCTCAAAGAATTCAGACTGGAGAGAAAGCCTGTAAATGCATCCAATGTGGGAAAGCATTTAGTGATAAATCAAAACTTGCACGACATCAGGAAACTCACAATGGTGAGAAGCCCTACAAATGAAAGCCTTCAGAAATAAATCCTCTTAGAAAACCCACACTGAGGCGAAACCATACAAAGGCAATGAGTGTGGAAAATCTTTCAAGAATACCACAATTTTTAATGTTCATCAAAGAATCCATACTAGAGAGAAACCCTTTAGATGTAATGAATGTGGGAAAACCTATAATAAGCAATACAAGACTTGTTGTACATATCAGAACTCATGGGGGCGGGGACCATATGAATGTAATAAATGTGGGAAAGCTTCCGGCTGTATAGCAAATCTCATAGAGCATCAAAGAATCCATGCAGGAGAGAAACCTTATAAATGCGATGAATGTGGAAAAACATTTATCAGCTATTCACTCCTTACTGTCCACCACCGAATGCACACAGGAGAGAAACCCTATAAATACAGTGAATGTGGGAAGGCCTCCGTGCGCTCTCCACCTCTCATCATACATCAGCGCGTTCACACTGAAGAAAAGCCTTACCTGTGTAATGAATGTGGGGAGTCTTTCAGGGTAAAATTCCACTTAACTGTACATCAGAGGACTCATACCTGGGAGAAGCCATATAAATGTACTGACTGTGAGAGAGCATTCACCAAAATGGAGCATCGGAAAATTCATAGTGGCGTGAAACCATATGGGTGTTATGATTGTGGAAAGTCCTTCAGGACCAAGTCATACCTTATTGTGCATCAAAGAACCCACACCGGAGAAAAGCCGCATAAATGTAGGGAATGTGATAAAGCATCCACTAATACATCACAGCTAACTGTGTATCGGGGAAGGCATACTGGAGAGAAACCCGATAAATGTAATGAATGTGGGAAAGTTTTCACAAGTAACTCAGGATTTAATTCCCATCAGCGAACACATACTGGAGAGAAACCATTCAAGTATAACGACTGTGGGAAAGCATTTAGCCAGATGGTGCAGGTCACAGAACATCAGAAGATCCAGAGTGGAGAAAAGCCCTATAAATGTGATGTGTGTGGGAAAGCCTTCAGGAGGGGTTTGTACCTTACAGTGCACTGGAGAACACATACTGGAGAAAAGCCGGATGCCTGTAAGGAATGCGGGAAAGGTTGTATTGCTCTGTCACAGCTAACTCTGCATCAGAGAATTCATACTGGGGAAAGGCCCTGTAAATGTGAAGAATGTGGAAAGGCCTTTAGAACTAACTCAGACTTCACTGTGCACCTGAGAACGCATACTGAAGAAAAACCCTATAAGTGTAATGACTGTGGGAAAGCCTTCGGGAGTGGCTCAAGACTTACTGTACATCAAAAAATAACATCAGAGAGGAACTCAACTAATGTAGGGAATAGTGAACCATTCAACCAGTGTTCAATCAAGAAGAGTCTTGTGAACTATATTTAATAACTATAGGGAACTTGTCAGTAAAAATTAAATGCTGTACACTAAATAGAAAAAAATGAATATTAGAAGAATTTAATTATATTCTTAGAAGTAATTCACATTAGCCGCTGGGCGTTGGTGGCACATGCCTCTAATCCCAGCACTGGGGAAGCAGAGGCAGGCAGATCTCTGTGAGTTGGAGACCAACCAGGTCTACAAGAGCTAGTCCAGGACAGCCTCCAAAGCCACAGAGAAACCCTGTTTTGAAAAACCAAAAGAAAAAAAGAAGTAATTCACACTAGATTAAAAATAGACAAGTGAGCCGGGCATGCCTTTAATTCCAGCACTTGGGAGACAGAGGCAGGTGGATCTCTGTGAGTTCGAGGCCAGCCTGGTCTCCAGAGCAAGCACCAGGATAGGCTCCAAAGCTACACAGAGAAACCCTGTCTTGAAAAACCAAAAAAAAAAAAAAAAACCCTTCATCCATGGTTCATACTTTACTCACATAACAAATTAAAGTTAATTGTCTTTATATACTTCTTCCCATTTTCTGTGACTTTGTCTTTTATCAGTCTAGAGATACCTTGTACATTTTTTCTATATTATTACTCCTTTGTCACATGTGTAGCAAATGTTTCTCTTAATTTAACATTTGTCTTTAAACTTTTATATGGTAAAATCACAACATTTTAATTTTTAAAGTGAAATTTTATGTCTTCTTAGGTTCTCAATTTTTTTAATTAGAAATGCCTACCTTTGGTCCCTAAGTTGTACATAATCTAAAATTTGATTTTTTTTTGATAATTTAGTATTTACATTTAAGTCTTTAACACAACTAGATTGAATGTCTGCTGGATGAGACTCCAAATGACCATGAACTTATGATAAGATTTTCAACCTAATTAGTGCTCAGGGAAATGCAAATTTAAACTAATGAACTGAAACTTCTACTTTATAGAGTTGGCAAAATTTAACCTTTTGTTGAGGGTAGGATTTCAGGAAGCCACGTACTCTTACTTAAAGATTGTGTAGCTTATGTTTCCACCAGCAACCCAGTGACTAAACACTAAGTTACCCATTCTTCCTTGGAAATCTGGTCCATAGAAATAAATTATCACCAAATGTAAGAATACAAATAAATAAGAATCATTGTTGAAGTATTGTTTTTATAGGACAGAAAAGTCACAACTAGAAATTGCCAAGTAATAGATACATAGATAAATGTTGATATATCCATATTTTGGAACAGCCTGGATAACTTTTAAAATGAGTTAATATGTGCTAGTTTCAAGATTTCCTCCAATTTTATAAGTAATTGCCTGTTACAATAAATGCATATACACAAAATTTAATTTTTGTTAAAGTAACTATCACCTGTTCCATACACTCACATGAGTAACTAGATTATATGAAGACAGATATAGAAGAAAGTATATCAGGCTATAAGTATTAGCTACCTTGAGGGAAGACAGAAAAAGAGAGGGAAGACAGAAAAGGAGAAAGGATTAAAGGGTGAAGAGACTATAAACAGAGAAAAATGTGAATTGTAGCATTGTGTTATATGGTACTAGTATGGCTGTGAATTTCTAAGAGATGAATAAAAAAAATAGTCTCTAAAAGTTAGTGGTTGTTACAGAATTATCAGGCCAGCAGATGTTAATTGATGTTCCTGTGATTTTCTGTACCTTTAAATTTCTGTTTTCAATGAACATGTAATGTTTACATAAAAAAAGAAAAACATCTTGTTTCTTCTAAAATCAATTTACTGTTCAACTACTGTGTTCCACGAAGTACTTTTTAGGTGCTGGACCCGAGGGCATGGGAATAGGTTGTGATGTTGTGTGGGTTCCAGATAAGTTACTCACCATCTTGCTCCTCTTAACCTGAATTTCAGTTGAGGTAGTGATAGAAATTTCAGATGGAAAATAAATCTGAATAATGTCCCAAATTTTTGTATCAGATGTAGATCAGATGACCACGGCCAGTTTCAACATTACACCAAAAGTAGTTGTTCTTAAAGATGGTTCATTGCATATCCTCAGAACTTCTTTGTCAAGTACAGAGAGGAAATAGCCAGAAACTTACACATCCCTAAATGAGTACTCAGGATTTTTGATAATACTAGGAAATGCCTACAACCAAAATGAGAACCTAGAGGCTGTAACCAGGTACCAGAAGCTCTAATAGACCATGTGCCTGATACACAAAAAGGCCAAGACATGATATGCTACACATCATTTGGAAGTGGAGAAGCCTTTAAGAGATGGTACCTCATTTTGGGAGCGGGGCTGCCCCTGAAAGGGATTATGGTATCATAGCCCCCTCACTCCCTCAGTTGTAATGTGAATTTTTGGCACTCCCACCGTAATGCACTTCTTTCTCATCGCAGACCAGTGCAACAATGCCAGCTGATCATGGATTGCCGGGAACCTCCAAATCTCTGAGCCAAAATAAGCCTCGCTCTCCTTGTAAGTTTACTGCCTCAAGTTTTTTGTTACACCAACTGGATACATGGGTTAAACACATTAAAGAGTCACATAGGATTAAAAAAAATAATAGTAAGTACTTTCCCAACCAAGAATGGGCCCCTGTTTGAATTCTCTGCTTTTCTCCCTATGTGTCTGTCTGTCACTTTTGATTTCTTGCTCATCTGTAGTCTGCCTGTTGGTGCCAGCCTGATTTCTGACTGCCTGGCCCTGTGTGTGTGTCAGTAACAAGGGGCTGTTGCTATATATTTAACAGCACAGAAAGTATCACAGAGGAAGGAGTGAGGGACACAGCTTTACAAGAGATCAAGTCACTGACTCCAACTGGCCCAGATAACAGGATTGCCAACACACCATTGTCAAGTAATAGCTCCACGCTGTTTCCAGCACTTGTGGCAGATAGGTATTTGTTGTATAAGATCACTTTTGACCTATTTGTTGTTTTCAGAGCATGATTATAGCATACACCCATGCAGTTCTGTCAAGGTTGTAAGGTGACTGTAAAAGCCATGGCCAGCAGATCCACATGAGACAAGAGAGAAATCCAGTTCAACACGGCTTAGTTAACCAGTGTTGGTTCAAACTTCTAGAGTCTGACCCTGGGCAGTTAGCACAATACAACTTTGAAACATTTGCTACACATGTGACAAAGGAATAATATAGAAAAAAGTATACAAGGCATCTCCAGGTTGATTAAAAAAAAGAAAGACAAACCCATAGAAAAACAGGAAGCAGTGTATATTTGGGCTTACAGTTCCAGGGAGATAAGAGTCACCATTTGTGGTAGTTTGAATGAGAATGCCCCCCCATGGGCTTGTATATTTGAATGCCTGGTCCCCAGGTAGTAGAACTGTTTAAGAAGGACGAGGACAGCCAGAACTACACAGAGAAACCCTGTCCTGAAAAACCAAAACCAACAAAAAGAAACAAACAAAAAAAAATAACTAGGAAGTGTGGCCTTGTTAGAAGAGGTATGTCACTGAGGGCAGACTTTGAGGTTTCAAAAGCCAAGGCCATTCCCATTTAGTTCTCTCTCTCTCTCTCACTCTCTTTCTTTCTTTCTCTCTCTCTCTTTCTCTCTCTCCCTGCCCCCCCTCTCTCTCTCTTTCTCTATCCCTCTCTCTCTCTTCTCTCTCCCTCTCTCTCTCTCTCATAGGTTGAAATGTAAGCTCTCAGCTACTGCTCCAGCACCATGCCTGCCTGCAGTTATACTTCCCATCATGGTGGGCATAGACTCACCCTCTGAAACTGTAAGCCCCCAATAAACTTTTTGTTCTGTAAGTTCCCTTGGTCATATGTTGGTATCTTAGCCTAGCAATAGAAAAGGAACTGAGACACTGTCACAGGGGGGGCATGCCAGCAGGAACAGCTGAGTGCTCATATCTCAAACCTAAAACAGGAAGCAGAGAGAGTAAATGGAGAATGGTACATAGCTTTTGAAACCTCAAAGCCCACCCGAAATGATACATTTCCATGAGGCCACAGCTAAACTTGCCCAATCCCACTGGGGACCTCTGGAGTATTCAAATACCTGAGACTATGGGGGACATCTCATTTAAACCACTGCAGTAGGTAATCTTAATTTACCACAATGTGTCGTGTAGGTAATTTGGATTCAACTCTTGTTTAAGAATAATTTTTTTAAAAATGTAGGTAAGAGAGTTGTTTAAAGGGGTATAAAAATAAAGCATTTTGAAATTGTTTGTACACAATGATGAAGATGATGAAGTTGAATGGTTTTCCAAAATGAAAAGAAAATCTAAAAAGCCTAAGACAAGTCATAAAAGAGCTGAGAATGTTATGTAAAGTAGGTAAGGATGAGACTTGGAGACGATGTATATGATACCAAAATTTCTAAGCTTAAAGTCTAATGCACTGATTAATATCAAACCTCTACATAAAATAAGCAATGGAGTTCTCATAAGTTATTAACCTACTCTTGGTAATAATTCTAAATACTGATTTAAAAAAACCAAAATGTGTATCTCATCAAAGCTTATTTTAAAATGCAAAACCCAAACATTACACAATAGTTAAAAATACTGGAGTAACTGACATGATAATAAACCATGCTTAGAGGCCTGTTCTGATGTGGTCAGAGGGATTAAAGAGGGGAATATTTTCCTCCTACCCTCCAAAGTCAACTAAATTCCATTTGTGACCATTCTCAAAATGTCCCTTGTCTCAAATGAGTTTCCTGTTCTTTTGTTCAGAAGGCCATGGAAAATTCACCGAGCAAATTCTAGCCAGTGTTCCATTTAAAAAGAGGAGAGTCAACACACAGGGAAAAAAATTCATCCAAATAGTCAAGCTTCAAGTGAGGCTAGGTCAAACAAAGCCTTTGACTTATCCTCACATAGATGGATAACTGGTAAAAGAAAGGACAGAGAAGGCAGAGGTTTCTCCAAGTCCAAGAACCCCTGAGGGCTTAGATCCTCAGCTGGCCTTGACAATAAAAAAAAATTATTAGTTTGGA